TTGTCTCTTCCATATCATTTATTTACTTTTCTGGAGCCATTCATGACTCTCGTTAGTCTTGTACTCCTCTTTCACCTTCACTCTAGGGTACCCACATCTCCCGACCGCTTAAGTTTCCAATTATCTATTATCTTCTTTTCTTTTATTGTTCCCACACTTCTTGCTATATTCTCACCGGCCTCCGCGCTTTAGGCGTCCTAGTTGTGTAGGCTAGAGCTTCCCGTGACTCTTTATGTCACTCGCGTATATTTTCACTTCACACACTCACGTTACACTCACACACACACACACACACTCACACACACACACACACACACGCACACGCACGCACGCACACACACACACACACACACACACACACACACACACACACACACACACACACACACACACACAGAGGTACGGACCGGGGAAGGAAGGGGGCGAGGTTTTGGCGGCGGAAGGTGCCGATCTTCCGGTCATCGAATTGGGGCAGTGACGTCAGCTCAGGCCACGTCGTCTAAGGAAACGTGAAAGTGATGGTAGTGTTGATGGTGGTGGTGATGGTGATGGTAGTCGGAACGTGAGCCGGGTGAGGTGACAGAAGTCGTGTGCAGGCCGACACAGTGTACATTTCCACAAACCACAACGATGACGACCACCACCACCATCATCATCAACATCGTCGTCACCTCGTTTGGGGAGCCCAGGAGTTCGAAGATGATGGAGAGCTGTTCCCAGTCCTCCTGTCCGGGAAACAGCGGCCGCCCACAGATCATCTCCGCAAAGATGCAGCCAACACCCCTTCATGGTGACACGCAGTGACACGGTGACACGCGGTGACACGCAGCGGTGGTGGTGATTGGTGGTGGATAGGGTGATGACGGCATTATAAACGTTGGTGATGAAGTAGGGCCAAGGGTGAGAGGTAGTGTCAATGAGAGAGGATGTAAGAGCGTGCACAGCGAACACCGCAACGTGTGTGTACAGATGCATACACGAGGACCACACAAGAAGAGCAAGAAGAGCGTGTAAGCAGTTACACACAAGAGAAACGCACCACATGTCGATGTTTCCAGAGTAGTTGACCGACCCTAACAGCACGTCTGGTGGGCGATACCTAAAGTCAGACAACACACACGCGAGTGTGAGGATGAGCACCTTTGAAACGGCGACACAACACTACCCCCCCCCCCCCAATTGACATTGCACCACCCCCATCCAGCGCAATGCACAGGTTTGCGTGCGAGTGGGGAGACGCGCACCAGAGCGTGACGACTTCGTGGCTGTATGTTTTGATGGGAAAACTCTTTGCCCTCGCCAGCCCTGCACGTGTGTGTGCGTGTGTATGTATGTATGTATGTGTGTATGTATGTATGTGTGTGTGTGTGTGTGCGCAAGGTGCGTGAATGTGCAATCATGCATGGACAATGTGCAGGTCAGCAACCACAACCCACTCGCCTATCACTTTGCCACGACAATGACTACGGCTACCTCCACCACCATCAATGCCACCGCCATTCCCACACCACCATCACCCCCTCCCCCCGCCTCCGTGCGCCGTCCACACACTCCTCCTTTCTCTCCCTCTTGCGCACACACACACACACACACACACACACACACACACACACTCTCTCTCTCTCTCTCTCTCTCTCTCTCTCTCTTTCTGAGCCGGGTGTACCGAAGTCTGCGAGTTTGAGCTCGCCATATTGGTTGATGAGCAGGTTCTGGGGCTTGAGGTCACGGTGGAGGACCTTGCGTGAGTGGCAGTAGTCCAAACCGCGCAGCAGCTGGAACAGAAACAACTTGACGTTGTTCATGCTGATGTATGAGCTGCACTCGTCCATGTACTGCTTCAAGTCTTTCTCCTGTCAACCCAATAAGGGGTTGATGGTGGTGGTGGTATGTGTGTGTGTGTGTGTGTGTGTGTGTGTGTGTGTGTGTGTGTGTGTGTGTGTGTGTGTGTGAGAC